GTTTAGGGAGGGAGCTGGCATGGGTGGGGCTGTCCTACCTAAGGTGGGAGCTGGGTGGAGTAGATTTAAGGATGCTGCAGGCACCACAGCCTAGGTTACATCTCAGCTCATCCTGCATAAGGCCTAGTGTCTTCTTTCTCAGACAGCAACAGTATTGCATCCTTCCAGGTAAAAAGACTGCTGTGGGGTCAGAGGGACCTAGAGCCTAGCGCTGGTCTCTGGGAAGGTGGTGAAGGGTGGTGTGTCAGACGGTCTTGCTTGGCAAGGAGTGACGAAGGACGTCAGAATGACTCGTGTGTTGGGAGTACAGCTAGGTGGTGGGTCCCTGTGCCCAGTGTAATGGTATTCTTATGTGTCCTTGAGCTGCCCAGTGGAGAACATCTGTTAGAGACCTCGGGTTTCCTTAGAGATGGGTGCACGAATCCATGCTTAAGCCTGTGAGAGGCTGTGCAGAGTAGTGCTTAATCTGGGTTTGAATTCTGATCAGACCAGAAACTAACCCTGTAACTTTTGAGCAAAACATCAGAAGCCTTTCTTGAGCCGAAGCTTCTTATCTATAAAATGGAGATTAAACGAGCAGATTACCTAAGATTGTTAGAATTAAACAATGAGTCTTGTGGCTTGCTGCAAATTTAGAGGTGAAAAGCAGTACGTTTTGGTATCCTGGGTTCTCTGCGCTTTGTCACTTATTAGCTGTATAATTTAGGTAATGGGCAAAAAATGTGGATAATAAACCCAAACTGGTAGAAGTTTAACTCTGAGCTGTCATATATAACTTCGAGTAAATACAGTGACTTCCAAAGCCCTGATAGTATTCCAGTTACAGTGGAGAGGTTCCTACCCACTTCCCCTCAGGCAAAGAGGTGGGTATTTGGGGCCTGAGGGTGCTCCTGGGATGTATAATTTACAAGTATAATTTACTTGTCATGTTCTCGTCTTGGACATGTGGTATGCTTCCAAGCTAAATTATGTGGACTTTCCCCTGCCCCTCCTTAGGTCCGGGGACTTAGGACAAGGGGGAGGATAGCCTCCCTGAATGTGGGTGGAGGTACTGCACCCCTAGGGAGGTATAAGACCCTATTAATGGCAGAGGGAACCCCCTGGTGCCCATAAACCTTCCCTGGATGTGGGGCAGTCCGGGGCGGGGGTGGGGGAGAAGAGGGTGGAGGGAGGGCAAAGGTGCCCACCCATTTCTCAGTAGGGGATCGAGAAGAGGCATTTATAAGTTGTGGAGTCAATACCTTCAAAGAATTAAATGACAAAAATGCTCACATTGATAATGGGGGGAACAGGGAAATCAAAGCGTATGTACAGAATGATAGCAATTGCATTAACATCTCCTTAGGCCATCTCAGAAGAGGTCTTTAAACTCTAGAAAATAAGCAAAATTTGTACATTTACCATAAAGGGGAGGGACTATGTGACTTGTGCGGTGACCCCAAATCGGGAGAGGCCCACTTCCTGAAATCAGGTCGTGTTTGCTCCATTCTGACTGCCCGCTGCATTTTTCTGCGAGACACATTCCAGTTCCAGGGGAGAGATCAGAAAGAATAAGTAACAGTTAAAGGCAGCAATTAAAAACCAAACCTCCCTGCTTTTTCTCAGGGGTTATAAAGCCTCTAGCAAGGGAGGGAAAAGATCTGTTTTACTGAATTCCTTTAAGGACAAAAACTTGTATTGTTCCTGGTAACCAACGGCGGTGCCCAGCACAATCCTCTGGACACCTGCCCAGTGTAAACAAACACACAGGGGCAGGGAACCCCTCCTTGCCCTCTGCATTGTGATAGGAGAGAGCCAAAGCGGCCGCCACATCGTCGTTGATGGCGGGAAGGCACTGGGTGCGGTGAGCGTGATGCCTGCAGTCAGATGGGCTCCTGGGGGCCTTCCCGAGATGAGCCAGGATCCGACAAAGAAACCAGCACAGAGACGCGTCGTGATGTCGACGGCATAGAACTTTCCTGTGTCATTTATTCCGCAAATATCAACTGAGCGCTACTCTTGAGTCAGGCACCCCTCTAGTTTTAGGGGGCCCAGAAGTAAGAGACAAATCCCTGCCTTCGTGCAGCGTGTATTCTATTGTCATCAAGAACTAAGTTCCAGGAAGAGCTAAGCAGTGATGATGCTGGGCAGAAGCAGTGATGTTAGCGAGTGGCCCGTGAGCTGCATTTGGTCTGAGGTGTATTTTGTTTGGCTCCTACAGTTGGGTTTTGGAGTTTTTTAAAAAAAAAATTTGAGCCAACATAAAAAATTCTGAAATTTTACCGTAAGGTCTTAATTTCTGAAATGTGGGGGGATCGCGGCACTGGCCCTCATTCCCAAGAGCAGCCATCGGCTGACGCTGGGTCACAGCTGCTTCTCAGGAGGAAGTGGGTTACTTCACTGTTCTGAGACTTTCTGCTACACTTGGCCCTTTTCAGTGGCCCTACCTGGCCGCTGCGGTGGCACCTGCCTCAGTCTTACTTCCGTACATTTCTCTTTGCCTCTTCTTTCTCTATTTTTGAATCAATTTTCCTTTGTCTATGTAAGCTGCCTTAAATCCTTTTCGGAGCAGCATATAAAAATAGACAATAAAGTCACCTATTCCCACCCCCGGAGATAACCACTATGAACATTTTCGTGTGTTGCTTTCCGGTATTTTTCTCTGCATATTTAAGCAGAGTTTAAAACAGCTTTAATTATGTCAGCCTTTGTTCCGTTTCCTTAGCAGTTCTCCGTTTCAACTTGTGCTTCCTCACACCAAGTAACACCTTATCTGACATTTCCTGACTTCTGGCTACCTCGAGGGCCTGACTGAACAGCTCTAGAATTACCAACCGTGTCGTAGGGCTCTGAAGAAGCTCCTGAGGAATGCCCAAGTTCGAAGTGGTTTTGTTCAGCTGTTATTTTGGGAGCCACTTTTTCAGGCGTTTATGGCACGCTCCGCTTTATACCCTTTGCTTTGCAGCAGGTGCAGTCAGAGCACCAAGCTGCTTGCCCACTGGCCTTCAGGGTAGCGGGTGGATGCCCGAGCTCCAGGCTCAGCCTTGACAGGCAGGTTGGTCTTGGTCTTGTCTTCAGTCACCGGCAGCTCTTGCTGCTGGGGAGTTTATAGGAACAGGACGAGGCGGGAGATTTTGTCATCAGTCGGAGCCCCTTGGTTTGTCTCGGCCTGGTGACTCAGGGTGGGGCACTGAGCCAAAAGTCTGAACTCTGGGGTGCCCCTCTCAGAGCACAGCCATCTTCCAGGGAAGAATGCCATCCTCTCGTGTCCGGACCCCCTCTCTGCCTCCTACTTTGTGAAGAACCGAGTGGATTAGGAGAGTGGCAGGAAGAAGCTCCAGGAGGCCTAGAGAACAAACCATGTAATACCTGAATATATTCTGGCGTCAGGATGAAAAATGCTAATCCACAGACCTGCTTAGTTTGGCCTGCTCAGTATTATTATGAAGTGGTAAATTTCACATTTAAAAAAGCTGGCTATCTGGTTTCTCCAGAAAATTCCAAAGGTCTGGTGACATCGGTCCATGTCTTTTTATGCACAATCTGGACAGGGCATTTACTCTGTGGACTAACACGGACCGCACGAGTCTTCCATGTGCCTGGCGCCCCGGGTGTGTCCCCTGCCTGGAACTCCTGCCCCCACTCTTTGCTCAGGCACTTTATTTTCTTGTCAGCTAAGCAGGATGGATGGTGAGCTCTCTCCAAGCAACCGCACTGTTCAGATACTTCCTTCTGCCCCTGGAAGGAATTGCCCTTCCAAAGGCAGGAACAACGGGGGTAAGGATGGAGTAAGGTAGAAGGTAGGCATGTTTGGGGAAGCCCTCTCGGTAGGCCGGATTTCCAAGAAACAGATATTTAAAGAACAGTGTGAGAGGGCACTCTTTAAAGTCTTCCTGTTCACTGGTGTAAGGTGTGAGGATGGATAACGGCCATCCTGGTGCAGGCCAGGCCTCTCCTTAACCAGCCCAGCCTTGCCGGTTATGCACATGAAAGCAGGTACCCAAGAGGGTGTTTTAAATTCACTATGCATTTCAGCAGCTTTTCAGGTAAGCAAACGGACACATAACTGATAAAAATGTTTTAAAAGCAATTCTCATCCTTGTCAGTGGAGAAATACACATTTGATAGAAGTTATTGGGAGTGTGAATGGACTATCCTGTTTTTCTACATATTTAACAACGTGTGTATCATATATAGTATGTTGATGTAGTCCAACTATCATACATTTGTGTAACTTTTTACAGTTACAAAAGCCCTTTCCTTATGCTATCTTACCAAATTTTCATCTGAGTTAGGTAAGGCAGGTCTAAATGTTGCCCCCATTTAACAGGTAAGAAAACTGAGGCCCAGTTTAGGTGGCTTGTCCATGCCAATGAGTGACAGAGCTAAATGAATGGGTGGATAAAAATGTAAATTTTTAATTTCAAAATTAGTGTGTATGGATATATTTATAACAATAAAATATTATCCTCGGATTATCCCTGTGGAGGTCGGTGTTTTTTGCCAATCTTATTTCTACCCATAGCTATTCTCTGCTTCTCCGGTGGTACCCCATTGGCTCATGGCTGCTTAATGTGAGAGTTTTGTTATGTATGAAACAGTAAATACATTGTTAGCCTACATTACAGCATTATATATCTCAATGCGGAAAAGGCTGTGGAATTTGAAGTTCTGATATCAGTTGTTTGCCGCCATACACATCACCTTTAAAAACATCTAAACACAAAATACTTTGGGATGGGGGGTGGGGGTCATGGGGAAGTCCAGGCCTTAAAGTAGAGTTGAAGGCTATTTTTAAGCACTATTGTCACACTGCCAACGTTGTCTCCTGAGAATACACACACATCTCTTTCCCCCCATAGCTCCACCCGCATTGGGTTCTGTATTCTGTAACTTTCACCTTTTTTTGGTAGTTGCACCTGATGGGAATATGAGATGCCCTAAAGGGCTTCTTGGGATCTTTCGGTGCAGACAGAGTACCTGGGAATCACTCATGTGGCTTCCTTTACCATCTCCAACAGGACTGTTGGATCCAGACTCCGCGAACGGAAGGGAGATTCAAGCCTCCGGGATGGCGTTCAGAGAGGTGAGTTCCTCCTTAATTTTAAACGATCTTATCTTTTGGAATTTAATTAAGTAATTAAGAGGTAATTTTAAATAATGTGATCAAAAGTTGTAATAATTTTAAAGCCCCTTATTCGTTAAAAATATTTAAGCTGAAAGTGAAATATTTAGGGAGCCATTTGGACCCATAATCCCAATCCTTTGACTCAGGAAGAAACCATTTTTTTTGGAGGTCTGTTGTTCAAAAAGTCATACAACAATCTACGAAGGAAATAAAGGTAGGATGACAATGGTTGCGGGCAAGGGAAAGGCTCAGTGAGGGTCTCTGAGACCTGAATGAGGAAGAGTGTCTATGTGAAAATAAATCAAGGAGACTGTTCCAGGCAGAGGGGGGGACGAGCAACAAAGGATGGGGTGAGGGATGGAAGCAGAAAGAAGACCCGAATGGCAGGGAAGTCACATCTTTCTCCTCACAGAACTCCTGGCCACCACCCAGGCTGAGGCCCAGAGTGACAATCTGGTCCATACTGATTATCCCGGGACCTGTATGGCACCAACTTGTCAGTCTTACTCCTAACGTGGTATGTCTTTGTCAAGTGGGAGTTTAGTGTCAAAGGCCTCCTTTACTTAGAACCTAGCCCAGTACTGTGTAGTAAAATTTTCTACTTATCCAAAGTAAATGTAAGTCTAGGCAGTGAAAGATGCCCAGAAATGGAACCACAGACCTTTCGGGCTTACCTTACTCTTGCTTTACACACGGTTTTAATGATTGCCAGCTGAATGGATGAATGAACGAGGCAAACTGTTTTCTTAGTCCACATAGGTTAGAAATAGCAGTATAATGGTTGGTGATGGTAAAGCAGGGAGGTCACTGCTGCATAGAGTTACAGTGATAACTCCAAGTTTCTGTAAATGGCCCTACTGCTAACACTTAGGCCGTAAAGGAAGCTTACTTGCACAGTAACATCCGGGACAGAGTAAGCCATAGATAAGTGCTAGCTATGCCGACGATTATGGTAAACATTTATGTGACAGAGCCAGTAAGTGGTTCAAACTTATTGACTTCAAAAGAATTCAAACTCAGTGATGTAACCCAGAGCTTACCCTCTTCCCCGTACCCATTCCCAATACTACTAATATTTTAACGTATTAATTGTGAGATATTCATAGGAAAATACGCTAGAATTAGTGCTGTATAACTCAAGGATTCATCACAAAGCAAAGTACCACAATCAAGGATGACACTTGACAACACCTCAGAAATCCTGTCATCCGTTCCCTCGATCTTACTCCTTCCCAACAAAGGGACCCCCACTTCTAGGCAAGTGCTTCTTTTCTTCACGGTTTTACTATTTAAGCATGCATTCCTGAACACTTAAGATTTAGTTTTGGCTGGTTTGGGAATTTTACACCAGTGGAATCAAACAGTAGGAACCCTTTTGTCTGGCTTCTAGAACTCAGCGTTGTTTGTGAAACGAGACTTAATCCATTTCATTCCATCTAACAATAAATTGTTTTCATTGCGTATTAAGTGACCACTTTTGACTCCAAAAATGGCAACTTAATAATAGTAGCTTATTGTATGAGTGTTTTACAGTTAATATTTCATACTATTCATGGAAATGGACATCTGCATTGTGGGCTGTGCTGCTGTGGTCATTTGTGTATATCTTTTGGTGATTATATGGGCAGATTTCTCTTAGGTATTTGCATGGGAGTGAACTGGATTTGAAAATAACACTGGGTTTAAATCTCATTGCGGTTTAATGTGCATTTCCTTCAATAGTGATATTGACCGCCTTTTAACATGTTCATTGACTATCATTTGTGAATTGTTTATTCTAGTCTTAACCAATTTGTAATTGGATTTTTCTCCCCTATTAATATAGCCATTCGTTACATGTTCTAGAATAAGCTCTTCATCAGTTATGTGTGTTCCAGATCCTTCCCTCATTCTGGGCTGCCTTTTCACTCCCTTAAGTGTCTTTTTTTTTTTTTTTCACGGTTAATGCATCTTCTATTCTGTTTAAGAAGTTTCCCTCCC